TATATATATAATTGCTAAATTAATATATTCATGTATTTTAATGAATAAAATAACTACATTAATGAAAATCATAATTTTAGCCTGTTTTACATAGCAAAGCATGGATCCTCTTTAAATGACATGCTCCTAAATGCTCTAAAAGCAAAATATAATTTTGCATCGACTTGATTTTGAGGTGAAATATGCTCAAGACATGTTTTCATGAGATATCCGAGTCTACACTTGAACTTAATACCCATAAAACATCTAACAAGTCACATGACTCCATCACCACTTCAAATTATTACATGCTGATATGCTAATTACTAATTAATGCTAATGCATTCGACTAAGTGAGTGTAAACAAAGTGTAGATTTCAAAGCCGAGCTTAATTAATAACAGCACTGTGAATGGGGTTGATTTCGTCTATGAATACAATGGCCAAAAAGCTATAAAACCACAGTGTCTGTGTATTTCAGGTTTATTAATGGCATTGCTTAAGTATTAATGGCTCTGTTCACTATTAATGAAAATTCTCCCGTTCTTTTGGCCCAAAACAGCATCTGTAATCACCGCCATGCCCAGATCCAGCAGCTCACCGGCGTAATTAACAATCTGTCAGCGTTATAGCCCGCCTATGTTCATCAAAGCCTCGCTGTTGGTTTGTAAAACTCTTTTAGGCTGAGTTAGCTGTTAGCGATTCAACGCAAGTTCCCTAAGAAGTGGACAGAAGAACACAGGGCTTTGATTTGGAGTGGACTTGGAGCCGTCAGAGGAATAATGTAGGTTATGAGCTGGCAGTGATTCATGGTGAAGGGTTTTGTTGTGTCACTGGATTCATGAGGGCTGGATAGCACAGAGTCGAGCCACTAGAACCTTCCAGCATGACACGTCGTATCACGGCCTCCATCTCTCAGGAACATCAGTATGCAAACCGCCGGCGTGATTTGTCTCGCAGTCATTCAGCAAGCGACTCTGCTCACATTCTCATAGGAACGAAAGAAAAATCTCTTTAACAGCTTGATCGCTTCTTCTAGACAGCAACGGCATTGAATCGAGAGTTTTGCGGAAGTCTGTAGCTTTTTCTCAAACATTTCTCATCAAACGGTCCGAGCTGCTATTCACGTTCATATTCAAGTATATAAAAAATATATATTATATTATATATTAAATAAGAATGTTTGGTGGTACAGTAATGAGAATGAGCTCTCATTACAGTAGAAAAATTGGTGTGAAAAATGTCAGAAGATTTATTGTATTGTATTTATTGTATTGCTAATTCAAAGTAAAATATAGAAATGTATAATATACATGAATGCTATAAGATATAAGTGTGTGTGTGTGTGTGTGTGTGTGTGTGTGTGTGCAATTTTTTCCAGATATAATAATAATAATAAAATGAAAGATTATTACTATCATCAACATCGATGGAAGCAAAACAAAACAGTATTATTTGATTACTTTGCAGGTAGTATCTGCTCACTGCATCTTCACCCTGGTTTTAAAATAAGACTATTATTAACTAACAACTACAGTGAACTTTATAAAACAGCTGAAGATGCTACTCCGAGTCTGAAGGCTCAGAGATCTTTTATTATTCGCTGTTAAACATAGAAGCTCCGTTGTTAGATGTGGAACTTATCAAGATATCAGTAGCGTTAGCGTAGTGTATAAATAACTGCTTCTGTGAGTTCACGCTGCATCTGCTCATTAGCACCACTGATCTGGGTGGGGTGCAAAAGCTGCGTGTGAACAGCAGGTGGGGAAAAAAACTCTGGAGCGCTGATCTGAGCACTGATATCAGCACAGTGATGTGCTCTGAAACATGTCATATATGGGAAGCTGAGTCAATTTGATTTACAGATTGAGAGAAGTTTAAAAGGTTCCTTGGAAGAACTACAAAGAGGGCATGGCAGCTTTACACAATCTATATTAGCTTACAATAAAGGGAAGATAGGGAACCTAAGAACCATTTCTGATCATTTACAACTGAACTTCCCAATTTTTTATTTTATTTTTTTAAAGATTATTAAGGTTAAGCCAAAGTGAAAGAGAAACAAGCCTTTACCTGTACCTGCCCTTGTTCGGGAATCATTACTACACATCATTTCAAACCAAAACATAACTCATGCACAAACATCAATGGGCCAAGCATAAAAACAAAATTCCAAACCTGTGACAAAACAAGCGATAAATAAAACCGGATAACCAAATTCCCCCAGAAATCACCTGCATGCAAGTGCAACCACATTACTATGTTTACAGGAATAATTTATTCAAAAAAAAAAAAAAAATCAACATATACTCACTCATTCTCATAGGGCTGCACGATTAATCGAATGCGATTGTCATGCGCATTTTGATAGTAATGCCGGTTCTGTAATCAGCAGGAAATCATCATCACGTGCTTTCAGAAATACATTTAATAACATATTTTTACTCCAAACTCACTTCATAACGTCAGTCGAGTGTTTGAAATAAATCCTGCTGTGAGATGATGTGGCTTCTTACAGAGAATAAGGCACGCAACATATTTCATTTAAGCAGTGATAAAGGCATTGTATTATAAATATACTTTATTTTAATGAAAATTATAATAATAAGAACTCAGATAAACCGTATATTGCCGTAGTCGTGTGTTTATTAGTCACGTTGAATCAATGAAAGCAGTTGAATCTTCTGTTTATTCAGCTGCAGCGATAGGCATTTTCTGGGTTTCTTCTGCGAGGCGTATTTGGAGTTTCAGCGCGAGAGCGCCCTCTGGCCTTTGGATGGAGATTTACTGCTGATCACAGAACTGTGCTTCACTGAAAGATACGCATGACAATCGCAGCTTCTGTCGAATCGCGATCTCGATTCCATTTCGATTTATCGTGCAGCCCTACATTCTCATGCCATAACTACTGCACCATGACAAATCTGTAAGCGTTATATGGTAGTAGGCAACTAATGAGCTTTTTAATAGCCAATGCTGATATCTTAGCGTAAAAGAATAATAAGCTTATATTGTCCGCCCTGCTCTCCATTTAATAATTTATTTGTAAATGTTTTGTAATAAATGCATAATTTTTGTAATAAATGCATAATTTCTGCAATTAAAAGATTTTTTCACGTTTAGTAAATATTAGAAAAAATATTAAGGATCAATATGAAAAATTATTTGAACTTGATCAAATAAATCTGCAAAATAATCAGATTTTTACTTCATTTAACCCCATTATAATATTATCCAATATTTTTTTTGTTAAATTATGAATAAAATTAAATGTAACCTGCAGTGCACGCAGTAATCTTATCTGATAAACTTGTGTACACTGGAAATTATATTTTCCAAAAATAAATAAAAATAATAAAACACAGGTAACACTTATTTATTATCTAGTACAAGTGAATATGACATAGATATATAACATGGACAAGTTGAAATCAAGGATTTAAAGTTGCTTATTCGACTCAAATCTCTTGTCTGTATCCAACTCACACGGTTTGCATCCTTCACGTCTCATAAAAAAGAAAGGTCAACTAAGCTTGAATATGTGAAAGCACAAATGAAAGAAAAGCTTTGACTAATGGAAAGATTATCCATGAATAATGAACTTAAGTTTCAGCCTAAAATGTATGGCTTGAAAAGACTTCGGAACAACATGCAGTTAAATAAATATTGACAGTTTTAATGGCTGCATATAAAACTGAACTATAACGGCATGACTCATACGGACCAGTTTAAGGTACTTTCTGAGTTGTTTCAGGAACTTGACAGCTTTTGATCACTTTATGCTTTGTTGGATGGAAAAGAACAGCATGAACATTCTTCAAAATCCCTTATGGTGTGTTGCACAAAATCACCGAATTTATATTTTTAGGTGAAAAATTTATTTAAAATAAAGATCACAAGACTCCTAACAGCTAGTCAAAGCACTCCAAAACAGTTGTCTTTAACTGACTACAGAATCTAAGACCTAATATAATCAATCTGGGCTTTGAATCTTTATCTACAGCTCTGCAGGGATCGAAACTTCCCAACATCTGCAACAACGCCACTGCATAAATAAAGCACAAACTCAATTGAGATTTCTAGACATCCATAAAACTACCGTGCATGTCAGAAACTATTTTAAAGAGACCACAAATGCACAATGATCCAAGAGCAAAAAAGAATCCTGAAAAACAAACAGCGGCTTTCCTGAGAGCAGGACTGAAATGGAAGCAAGCAGGAGTCAACGCCAAAATTTACAAAACAGCAGCATAGGAAAAGCTCCGCCCCCCCAAATGCTGTATGATTCAAGAAGCTAACTCAACCCGCAACCAGCGCACAACCGCTCTCTCTCTCTTGCTACACAACGGAGAGAGGAAATATTTGCAGCTGTCTGCCTAGTGGTTAACTGAACAATAGGAAATGAGTGTCCACTACAGAGAATCAGTCGAGAGATGGACAGCAGCGGGGTGTGCATATGCCGTGGTGATTTTAGTTCGCCGGGGGGGTGGTGGATGTGATGATCGCATTGTCCTTGAAAACACAGACACAGCAGTCAGTTTCAACTAGGACTGAAACAGTTCTCCACCTCTCCTCGACTTCCCTCCTCACAAAGTAAACAGACTCTCGTAGAAAGTGAGGAATGAACACACACACACACACACACACACACACACACACACATTCCAGCTTGTATTGTGGCATGTCAGATCCTGTCTCAGCTCCTCTGGCAGCTCGAAAATAACTGGAAAAAACACTTCCCTTCCTTTCTCCTTATATGTCGCTCTTTCTCTGCATTCCCTATGACATATGTCCTCATTCTTTCCCTAAGCATCTGATTGAAGAGTGTGTAACCAATGACTCATTCACATCTCAGACCGTTTCTGGCTGATGCATGCATCATCGAGACAACAAAGGCTTCTGATACACTTTTCACAAAGTAAAACACAGAGGGGAGTGTCTAAATTATAATGTATTATACAGCTCTCTGGGAATACTTAATTGTGATTGGTCGATGGCAATATTCTGTGGTTAAACATTTTTGTGTTTGTTGTGTTAGGTGCGCATCTCTCATTTCACTCTGTGGTGTTTATTTAATAAGTAATTTGTATTACGTGCAGTAATGTACAGAGAATTAGTCGTTATTGGAAAATAAACCGCATTCAGGATGATAGAAGGACATGGGTTGTGCTTTATTTCACTATAATGACCAGCTGAAACTGCTTTAGTACCAACGTAACTTTGTTTTTGAGTATGATTATTAAACAAAATGTACACTTGTAAAGAACGATTTTCGAAGTTGTAAATAAAACCTTGTTGGAGTACATTTTACAAGAAAATACATGTTTTAAATTTGATGTTTAAAACAAAGAAATAATTACAAAGAAATGGCTAAGTTTCACTAGCATTTGTTGACTACAAACAAGCTTTCTTTTCAAAAAATGTGTTATATCATAAAATAAAACATTTCCAAACATAAATCACCAGAGAGAAGTGTCGTATCAAAAGATTGTGTTATGACATTTATTAAAAATGTCAACAATAGAAGTAACATGTATGGATGAATTCACAATAAGCTTGTTAAAATGCATTTAGAAAACTGATATGGTGAATTTCCGTTTCATGCTGCAACTTCATAACTGTAATGACACATACAAGTGACACCTTGCAGACAAGACACTATAAAACCGTTGTGTTGCAGGTGTGATGTCTACTGGATTGTGGTTCACACACACAAAGCTTCGACTGTGTCTGAAACAGAAGGCAGCTTCCCTGCTGACTAGTCAATCAATGACTTCACAGACAGCAGTTTTTGTAAAAAGGTACCCGGAATAAGGAAACAGGTCTTCTAAATTATAGACCAAAGAGACGGACTTCTAACGCACTATAATGCTACACAACGTATGAGCTAAAATCAATTCAAAGCAAACATTTAAATAACGAAATAAATCAAAAAGTATTAAATATCTAAAAAAGCATTTATTTATTATTATATTCTGTCTAATTAGGCCTGGGCAATAAAACGGTATCGATATTTATCGACGGTACACCCTCTTTGATAACGCTAGAAAATTTTTTCGATATAGCGCACGATATAGGCACGTGCAATGAGTGACGCAGAGTGACGCATTCAAAATCGGCAATGAATCGCCTGCGATTTTGAACACGATTTTGTGTAGCCGTTTCGGCCAAGAATTTTCATTTCGGTGCATCCCTATCTGGGAGCGTCATTAGTGGAGCGCGAGATGCGGTGATGATGATGTAAGTGACATTGTTGCATTTTAATGTTTTATAAGTCTAGTCCACAAGACTAGACGCAGTTGCTGCGTTATTCATTCAATATATATATATATATATATATAAACAGATGAAGGCTTCCAAGCAGACAGGATGTTACACAAACACTGGATTTGTAAGCTGCATTTTTCGAGTTTCAGCCACAGCCTGTGCGCTTTACAAATAGGCCTCCACAGGACGCTACCAGCTGCAAAAGTTCTCGTCTTCTAAGGAGAAAACAGTCATGGGACGACTCCCTAAATAGGTCTGACCTAGAACACCCTAAAACTTGGGCAAGAATCACATAAAACATGATTTAACACCACAGGTACACTACATCTGCAGAGTTCAGCGTGCTGAACTATGCGTCAAAAACCCAGCATCATTGGCACAAAAAACACATCTGGTCAAATGCCAGTCCATATTAAGAAAGCGTGATTCATAATGCACCAAAACCCCACCGAGACTGCCCTGAGCTCTGGCGCAATTACAGAGAAAGTGCCCCGTGTGACATCATCAATGCATCATCTAAACCATTTTGATTGTAGAAGTCTCATGACTGACGGAGGTAGGAATGGCAGCATTAGACATAAGCCGGAGTCATTTAATTCGCAGGTGCTTAACCATTTGCATCCTTTAATGGGATAGCAGAGATATTAGACAGCTAAGCCACTAGGCATCCAGACTCTATAAACACCTTTGGGCTGAGATAACACTTACAGCGAGATACAATATACCAGGACACATTTTAAACATATTAAGGGCAAGTAAATTGATCTTGCTGTATAACAGACTGCAACTGCAGCAGGCGGTCAAATATGATCAACATATGCATGTGGGAGGCAATTCAGACAACAGCTGCTGACTTCTGCTCCACTCCAAATATGTGGATTATGGGAAGAAAAACATTATGCAGACTATAATGTGCCTTTATACGGAGAGACTTTGAGACAAAGTCAGTACAGGGGGCTGAGTAGGAAAACACTTTAAATACACATACCAGTGTGAGAACAGACCTTCATCAGGGTAGCATCATATTTAATTTTTGACAGGAACGAAAACAAGGCTGCGAGGGACAGAAGTACGGTGCATTCAATGGATTGTACTGTTGTTTAACAATAAAATCGATCTGACCGAAATAAAAAAGCTCCATTAAAAAGTTGAGTTTGAAAGTGAGTCATGAAAATTAAGCGATCTTATGCCACTGTAAAGACTGTAAGTCTATCACTCACAGCCTCGTTTTCATCCGCGTTAAATTCAATATGGCGTCTAACCTGACTAAGGTGTATAGCATTTGTAGTGCATCTGCCCTATTTTATGAGTTCGCTTTCTAACGAGTGGCACGTAACGCGTTTCTCCCGACGAAGCAAAACAAAGAAGAAACCTGAGATGAACAGATTTAAGCAGTCTTTTTAAAAACCCACCAATCTATCTCGCTCCCCTTGTTCACTCCTCTCTTCGCTCGTCGTCCCACCGTGAAGCGTCTGACCCCTCCCCTGTGGAGCAGGAGTTCTGTTCACCGACACCGCTTTGGGCGGGGACACGGCGGACTTTTCAATATGCAAGCGAAAGAAAAAAACGCAATATTACGCTGCAGAATTGTTCTTTAAATGTAAACGCACTTAAACGCAGTTATTCGTCGTCGTGTGAATTATCAGACTGCATTGTAGATGATATGCCACGAAACAACGACTTTTCGCTGCACCTGTGAACCTGCGATAGCCCAGGCTACTTCATCACGGATTGATTGGAAATCTGAGTTGAGAGAATTCCACCAAAATGGAATCGTTTATTCGGAACAAAAAGAATATATACTAGGCTATAAAGAATGTAGTCTAGATAAAATAAACATCAAAGACTAAATAAAAAAAAACATGCACTACACTTTTCTCACATAATTCAGTCATATTTATTAAAACACTCTTAAAACTCACACTTGTTTATTAATTATATTTTAAATGAATTATTCTATCAAACTTCTGTTTATTTATTTATTCCAGTCCATCTGTGTTAATTCCCTATTTTGCATATACACAGTTATTTATCTCTATATTTTTATTTCTTCGTTTATTTAGTTCTGTTTATTTCATTATCCTGTATGATGATATGAAAATCAAATAAAACTTTTTAGGGTTCCCCATTTAGTGTCCTTGCCAGGTTATGGTTCTCCAACAGGTTCAACCAGTGTAAATAGTGCCTTAAGTGTCTTTTTAATTTGTACCCTGCTTGTGCAATGGAAAATAAAATAAAATAAAATAAAATAAAGATCAGTCATTATCAATAGGAGGGAAGATAATGTGCTGGCTAACTCTTTAGCCTGATTTCAGATTTTTAATTTCATTATTCTTTTAAGTAGCCATCATATTCATTTTTTAAAATCATATGAGATATGAGGTTGGTTAATTTACAGTTTTGAATTTAGTGGAGATTCTATTTATTCAGTTTGATGAGAATCTTGGTGGACTTGTTATCACTACACAGAACTGACATTGCATTCAAAACATATGAATTATTAATGCTGTGGTCCATCTAAGTCGATCTCATTTTGCACGTCATTTGCTCAGAAGACTTCCTGAGGTCACCAGATGGATATGTCACTTGAAGGTTTGGGAAACAGACAATAGATTTTATAATTACAAGAAGAACTAACCTTAAAAAGTGATATTGGTAAAGGTTGATGAAAGGTTATCTGTAATTTTTAGCCATGTCAGACAGAACAGTTAAAGAGAACAAAATAAATGGATAATTCCGACAATATCACACAATTAGTAACTAATTAAAGTGATTGTAGGCATAGCTCAGTAATTTATAGACTTACTATTGGTTTCAATATTAGTAATATAAGTCTGAATTCAAAAGTTCAATGATCTATTACTTCCACAACAACCAACTCATTTCATTTATCACTTGAATCAGACTGACTCATGATCTGTCACTGGTGGGTCAATAAGCGTCAGTCATATCTAGTCAAAGTCATCTGAACCTTTCAGCGTGGGATATTATAGTAACACTGAGTTCCCCACCCAGCGACTCAAGCTCAGCTGATGTTAAAAACTAACCTCAACGCAACCAGTCAGGATGGGAGTTTGTGGATCCAAGCACTCAGTATGAGTCAGTCGCCCTACTATTAGCAAGTACAGGAGCACACAGTAGCTCCTGATAGGTTCGTAGGTCACTCTCTTGACCCTAGGGCACACAAAAATGTTCAGCAGCTACAGCACAGAGAATTCCACGTTTGTCCATGTGGTGTTGCACACTGGTGTCGCGTCACATGGTGTATTGTTAGCCAACAGGCAGTTTGTTGCTAAAACTAGCCCCAGCAAGTTATGGAGCAGTTCAAATGCGAATCAGCAGAGGCTTATCAATTCTCCATTTCTGCTTAATTGCTTATCTTTTTGTTTCATTTTATTTTACCTTATTATGCATCGGAAGGCATTTTTAAATGGATTATGCAGGAAATGTATTGTTTTACAATATTTCTGGATACTGTATTTGTGATCAAATAAATGCAACCTTGGTGAGCATAAAATGTTACAAACTTTTGAATGGTAGTGTATGCCCACTTGGCTCTATTGTTTATTCTGTGCCTGCTTAGAACAGTTCCTGATGTTCTCTCTGAATGCCACAATTAAATCTCAGATAAGGTCAGGTTGGAATCCATGACCATTTCAAGGACTGACAAGACAAATAAGCAAATACTGGCAAAACAACAGAGACATTCAAAGGACCTTATACTGGTTGGGGCTCTCACAGATTTATTTTTACCATCAATTTAACATTAAGTGGAGTATCTTTAAAAATTTGGAACCAGGTGTGCTGTATCATTTCAATATGTGCCTTATTTAACATATAATGCAGCCTTTCTTGAAAAGGTCCCTGACATCCTCATCAAATATAGCAGGCCACCAATGAGGAACTAGAAACAAATCCACTATTAAGGCATTTTACTTTACATTGTCACTTCTAATAAAGCTTCCTTCAGTAAAAACGTCAATTTCCTGTTGTCCTCTCACATCAAAATCCACTGACATATTTGTTTAGAACTGGAATTTGTTTCTTAAAAACACAAAAGCCTTTCACTTCACAAGACGTTAATTGATGGACTTGAGGATTATTGTAATGTTTTTATCAACTGTTTGGACTCTCATTCTGATGGCACCCATTCACTGCAGAGGATTCACTGGTGAGCAAGTAATGTAATGCTAAATTTCTCCAAATCTGTTCAGATGATGAAACAAACTCATCTACATCTTGCATGGCCTGAGGGTGAGTACACTTTCAGCAATTTTTTTCATTTTGGGTAAACTATTCCTTTAAGACTGAGACATTAACTGGACAGAAATAGGTAGAGGATTCTGTCAGGTGACAGAAGTAAGATTTTTATCACAACATGAATACAAACTCAGCTGCAAAGACTGGTACACATATAGTTGCCAAAAGCTATACAGATCTGATTAAAATGTTTCATTGAGCTGACGAGAAGAGAATGCAGGGAGGTTAGGATCAGTTGAAGAATGTTTATATTTGCCAAATGTGCCAGTGTATGAAATAATTGATTAAACTCTGCATGGGGCACAAGATGACTCACGATGTTGAGCAGAGCAAGTGAGTCATGAGAGGGCTGGTTAGGGTTCTCATGGCTCCATCTAGTGTTTATCAGTGGAAACTACAGCGGGGCCCTCTCAGCACTTAAAGGAATAGTTTGCCCAAAAAAAGAAAATTCACTGATAATATACACACCCTCAGGCCATCCAAGATATAGATTAGTTTGTTTTTTCAGTGGAATAGATTTGGAGGAATTTAGAATTTCATCACTTGCTTAACAATGGATCCTCTGCAGTGAATGGGTGCCGTCAGAATGAGAGTCTAAACAGTTAAAACTATATCAATAATCCACAAGTATAGATCTGTTTTGGACTGCTTTTGCTTGTAAACAGTGCTTGATCTGTGCATATTTCTCTCCTGATTCAGGCCAGACAACTTTTTCACTAGTGAATAGTATGGATAGAGGAGTCATATTTTAGCTGGAAGCAACGCTTTTAAGTTAAAACACCTTAATGATGGGTTTGTTTATTACAAACACTCAGCTTTTCACTTATAAGATGTTAATTGAAGCACTGCAGTCATGTGGATTATTTGTTGATTTTTGTGTTTTTATCAGCTGTTTTCAGCTCATTTTGATGGCACTGACAACACAGACACAAGTACTCTTTACTTGTACCTTTTACACATGTAATAAGTGTATTTTTATTTCCTTTAGCACCTGCATCACACAAAGACAGTATAAGCTCTCATGATCAAACACACAAAGCCTTAATGTCAACCCACAAGAGGGAGCCAGATGGCCACAAGATTTAATTATCTGTTCAACCAGGCAGGACAGATGTAGGTCAGGAACTGCAAGTCCATTATATGTTTAACCTTACCTGGTTGCTTCCTTGCATTCGCTTGCTCTGCATCTCTTTAAGTTTTCCATCACACAAAGAGGTGGCACTTAACACAAAAAGAGTACAAAATATGGCCAATTTCTTCTTTTTCAACAAATGGACAATGAACTTTAAGTAAATGTTTTATTTTGTGTGTTTTTTTTATTGTGTGCTTGCCAATTTTTGCAACAGTAGTTACCAAAATGTTCTTGCAATAAACATTTTATAAATAAAGAGTTTATTTGCAAAAATAGATCACTTTTAAAAATTGTCAAATTTTTTGAAAATTACTTAAAAAAAAAAAAATTGTCAAAAATCATGTTTTTTATTAGCCTATGTAATCATGTTTTTATTGTGTTTAATAGCTGTATTTTTTTTTATTTTTTTTTAACCTATTCAAAATAACCCAACTGCAGTTTGATTGAGATTAATTGGAATGCACAATGAAAAAAAAGCATGATTTTTGAAAATTGTTAAAAATTGAGTTATCTGTTTTTGCAAATGAACTCTTCAAATTTAAAATAAATGTAGGCTATATTAAATAAACAAACCATTTTTTACAGACAAAATGTATATTAATGGGTTGCAAATTTAGCTTAAAACAAGATGTCACTCAGTAGAGACTATTTTTGATTATTTATTAGGGTATTATTTTTATTTAGTTATTTTTTCTTAAAATAACTTATATCAGGGTTGCAGGGTTGAGCTTAATGAATGTAGTCAATACTACACTTTAGGTAAAAAGTGACATATTGGAAATACCGTAAAACAAAATAACGGAAAAGGATACAATTAGGCCATTTGAATATCATTATGTCAAGGGTAGCCTATATAAAAAAAATTTCATCTATATATTGTTTCATCCATAGATATGTATATACATCTATCTAAATATATATTTATTTAACTATATTTAAATAATTATTTTAAAATAACTGGTGTGGGCTGTAGTCAATAAATCTTAACTAAACGTGTTCTCGTTCACTTTGGTTAACTGCCAGGCTCATGAACGCGCATAGACGTACACAGGTTTAGTAGCCTTCTGTTCAGCACGAAACGGGATTTTACAGCGCTTCAGCAACTCC